AACATCTTTTTTTTAACTAACTGGTATTACCTCCGGTGTCGTTGAAACGTTTTCGTTCCAAATTTCTCGGCGGCGGTACGCGCAGGCTCCGCTTAATTGCTAAGAGTCCCTCTTTTCTCTCCCCCTGAAACAGAAAAGTGTGAATATTTATAACTCGGTGCACGACAGTATAACTTGTGAGGGTTTTTAATACATATACGTGGGCAAGTAGGTAGTTGCGGTGTTGGACCAGGGTCAGCATCTGAAAACAGATCGTTTTGTGCAGCAAAGATTTCCTGCGAAGGCATTTTTAACAGCGTGCATTTCCTACTTTTTTTTAGCCTTGATTTTGGAAATGCAGTAAAAGTTGAGACAGAAGCAATGAGAGATTTACAAGTGGCTTCTTCAAAAGATTTCCCAGCAGAGATTACACACAAAATAGCATTTCAGCAACAATAATAAAAGGCAGCGGAATAAAGGGAGAGCAGAAAAGCCTACTCTGTAACACATTACAAAAATTAAATCGGCTTCTCTTTGTGTATAAGCTTTGTCTCTGAAATTAAAATACATGCTTCTTTTTAACTGTTTGACAAAGTTAGATTAGTTTCTTCGCTGACATTTTTGAAGAGGCTCATTTATAAGGCTGACAGAAATTTCGCAAGAGTAATACTAAGAATGTATTTCTGGACTAGAAAAAAAAAAAGCGAGATTGTAAGCAAGGAAAAAAAAAAAGAAAACGGCTTTAATTATATAGGACGGCTATTATATTATAAACGGCTTTAGTTATATAGGAACAGTTCCCTTTCCTACTCGCAAAGTATCCTGGTGCTTTACTACAGGGATTTACCATGACGGTGATATTTTGAAATAAAGTCTAAAATTCTGAGCATTTATAAATCACGAGCTAAAATAATAAATTAATATCTGGACAATTTGCGGTAATAATGGGGCCTAATGAGGTTGCTAGAAAGATAAAATGTTATTTACCAAAACACCTGATGGGATAATTTGACTTGCTGTGTTTTACTACTGATGATAAAAAGAATATTGATTGCAAATAAATCACCGTCTCTAAACGCTTGTAAACAATTTGTGTTTGCTCTGCCCAGATCAAAGTAAAACTTATGAGATAAAGTGTCTGCATATCCTTATTCTACAATGCGTGGATCAGCTTTCATTTCAGAGTTTAAAGGCTCTTCTAACAGTTAGAAGTTAATGTTTTACACGAGACTCTTAGTGTATGATTTGGGGGGCGAAGGAAGGGGGGGGCAGTTGGCTTGTGTGTGGAAAATCTCTTACATTACAAGTGTCTTCGTGCTGAAGTTGTGCATTCATCTCCCCAGTCTCCTCTCACGCCAACTCCTTTTAAAGGCAGATCTGGGGCCAAAGACAAATGCTCTGCATGAATTTGTAATATCCTCCTGGATATTTTTCAGATAAATGCGACGTTGTGTGCAGGCATGAGTTTGTAACTGTGCTGTAGTGTCTGCTTGCTCTGCCTGATAATTTCGGGGGCACAATAAATTGTCTCGCCGAGGCGAATGAGAAGTTGTTGCATTTCCATCGTTTGATTTGATTTAGTTTGCGGAGAAAATACGCGTGATGTCTGGCGGAGCCCGGTTTAGCCCCTCTCTTTTCCTTTCCTTGCAAGAAGGGGGGGATCATTTGGGAATACCTCTGTCTGATCTAAACGTGAGGAGCCTGGAGCGGGGAGGGCCGAATTTGCCTGTGAAGACCCTTTGCACCGCTCAAAGGCGTATTCCGGCTCCCGGAGTAGCCTATTCAGGTCTGTTAGAGACACTAACGAGATAATTGATGTGCTTTTTCCTCTCCGCTTGTCTGAATGTGTTGCAGGGCTCCCAGTACGAGCTGAAAGATAATCCGGGTGTCCACCCTGCTACCTTTGCTGCCCACACTGCCCCCGGCTATTATCCCTACGGACAGTTCCAGTACGGGGATCCGGGGCGACCCAAAAACGCCACCCGGGAGAGCACCAGCACCCTCAAGGCCTGGCTCAACGAGCACCGCAAGAACCCCTACCCCACCAAGGGCGAGAAGATCATGTTGGCCATCATCACCAAGATGACTCTCACCCAGGTCTCCACCTGGTTCGCCAACGCCCGCCGGCGGCTCAAGAAGGAGAACAAAGTGACCTGGGGCTCCAGAAGTAAGGACCAAGAAGATGCAAACCTCTTCGGGAGTGACAATGAGGGGGACCCGGAGAAGAATGAAGATGATGAGGAAATCGACCTGGAGAGCATAGACATAGATAAAATCGACGAGAACGATGGGGAGCAGAGCAACGAGGAAGAGGAGGAGAAGCCCGAACTCCTGAGACAAAGTAGTGAAGAGGAGCACTTGGAAAAGGAGAAGGATTTGGCACTGTCAGGGTCTGAAGGGCTGAAACCCAAAGACGCGCTGGCCATGGTGAAGGAGGCCTCTGACAACAGCACGCGAATCATCAGTCCCGGGGGACAGAACAATTTACAGATGCCGTCTCACAGCAAACCCAAGATTTGGTCTTTGGCAGAGACGGCAACCAGTCCCGATGGTGCCCTGAAATCTTCTCCCCCTCCGCCCCCTCCTCCCCAGGTTAACCACACTTCTCCCCAGATCCAGCACCCCGCTTTTCTCCCTAGCCATGGACTCTACACATGCCAGATTGGCAAATTTCACAACTGGACAAATGGGGCTTTCCTCACCCAGAGTTCCCTGCTAAACGTGAGGTCCTTTTTGGGAGTAAATCACCACCACGCCGCTCATCACAATCATCACCTCCAGGCCCAGCAACAACCTTCTGTTCTAACAGCAACCCTGGGAGCCCTAAGCAGTGAAAAACCTTCAGAGAGGACAAGTCCCAAACACATAGGTAATGAATGCATCAGGGATCCACCTTCCCCTCCACCCCCAACACATGCACATGAACTTCTTGAGGAATGGTGTCAGATTCAGCCCTGGTGTAACTGATTGCTTTTAACGGAGTTAGAGTTTACCCTAGCGTTGATTTTCTTTTTTTTTTTTTCATTTTTTTTTGTCCTGGAGCATGTTGATTGCATACATTAAGCCCATTTCATGTGGGCTATTGCATTCTCACCCTATATGTCCATCAAATAAGATGAGAATGCAGGAACAGTGATGTGAAACGTATTCTTTAAGTTTTGTTTTCCTTCCCTCCTTCCTGACCCTTATCTCCCAATAATTTCAATGACAGTCAAAAATGTGGCAAGAAAAGCTTGCCTTCTCCTTTAACTTCAATCCTGAAAGTAGGGAATAGTGCTGTATGCACACACATATACCTACACACGTCTGAACGAGAGGGTGAGAGGGAGGTGTGTTCTCTGTACACTGTCCAGATTTTTATTGTTGTTAGTCTAAAATGGTTCTCCTGATTTTGTTGTTTTTTTCTCTCTCCTTTTTTTTTTTCTTCCCCTCCTTCTAGAAAGAGAAAATGTACCAAGAACCGAATCCCCACCTCAGCCGCTAAAATCGCCCTTCCAGCCTGTCCGTGACAAGTGAGTTTGTTTGTTTGTTTTCACTGCAGGAATGTTACTTATGTGAAACAGAACGTTTGAATAATAAAGGCTAATTATAACACCTAATCATCACCATAATAATACATACAGACTACAAGAACAACACAGAAGTTGCTGTAATCTTTTCAAAGTTAGGCTGAATTGCAATTGTACATAGCCAGCCTGTAACTTTTCTGAAACTTAACAGACCTCAAAGATCTTGTGTTAATTACACCAGTGACAATGATTTCTGTGCAATTAACTAATACTAGGATGCTATAGCAATAGACAGGCAATTATAGGAAAGCATTTTTTTTTTCCTGAAAGATTGTTACGTCTGGGTTTTTTGTCTTCTTCTTCCTTTCCCCCCTGCAGCTCTTTGGCTCAGCAAGAGGGAACACCGAGAATTTTAACAGCTCTCCCTTCTGCTTGATTAAATGGTTTGGTGAAAAAATATTACAGAGACTGGTATTAAGGACTGAAAAAAAAAAAATAATGGAAACGATATAAACGACTCCCATCAATCTCTTTTTGCAATAAGGTGGTGCAAATCCATAAAAGCGATTACAGAAATCTGTAGATGGATCCCCTTCTTCATTGTATCATTTCAGATCGTGTTATTCTAACCATTCTTGGATTATTTGTTTGGTAAATGTTTCCCATGTGTTTGTGTTTTTTCTGTATATAGAGTGATTTCAGATTGTAAATAGCGCGTCAGCAAAACTTGTCTAAATCATATATTTTTGTCTAATAAACTAAATGAAAATATGAGCTCTCTTCAGGTATGTATTTTGTTGCTGCAGATCTTATACATATATTACAAATCTATTCAAACATTTATAATTTGTTTTCTAAAAAGTCAAGTCTTTTAGCTTTTGGGCAATGAAACTTAAAATACCAGATCTGCGAGCTTCCCTTTACATACACGTAAATTTAGGAAGCTGAGCGAAGGTGGTTCTTGACTAGTAAAATTAAAGCTATTTTTTCAATTGTGATGAATCAGACGTGTTCTGTGGTATCCATTTTCCAAACATAAATGGATCTGACTTCGACTTACGTCATAAAATACATTCTTGAATATGAAAGGGACAAGTTTTCTCACAGTTCCCTAGTGTATAACTTTGCTGTCCAAACCGGTTCCTAGACTGGATCAAGAGCTTTAGTGCTTTGGTATACATTCTGACCGAAGCCGAAAAAAAAATACATTAGGAAACAGAATTATTTGTAACAATTCATGCTTTAAATAAACACAGACGAAATATGACTGTGAAAGATTTTTCCCTGTGAGATTAACGCAATTTTAGCAGAAAAAAAAAGTATGGCAGCTCTTGCACTTCCCAGACCAAAGTTCTGCGATTCCGATCTGTTGGTTAAAAAGAGAGAGAGACAATATATCGGTTTATAAAGGCATTAATCTTCCAAAGACGGTCCGTTAAAATGTGTAATATTTTGAGTGTTTACCTCTTTTTTCTCCTAAATGAGAACACTAAATGAGCATTGAGGTGCTAATAAGATACCAGATGGTTGTTGATGGTGGAAAATGGAAAGAAGCAGCTGGGAAAGTCATTAAGAAATAATGTGGTGACGCCCTACCCAAACTGAACCAACCTCAAACCTTGTCGGAAACAAGATGAGATTTTAAAACAAAATATTAATAAAATTCTTGTCAGAGATCAGAATATTGATCTTGATTCAGTTGCAAAATCATCGCAAGCAAAGAGGGGTAAACTATCGCCTAGAGATCTTTTGACAAAGCAGTGGAAGCGTGGCTTCAACTTTTGGGGGTTTTCAGATGAAGCAGAGAAACAGATGAGAAGAAATAGGTTTTGAGCAGGATATCTGAAGGGATGTCTCTGAAAAGAGACTCATTTTGACATCCTGCGCTTCCCCAGCACAGCATCGATTAGTTTGCTTTCTGGCCTTTAAGTTGTTAGGGTGTTCCTAAATCGCAGGCAGTCCCTCATGGGTAACGCCTCCAACAAAAGAGCATACTATAGTTTTAACCAAACCATAATAACTTTGATTTCTGTGAGGAAAAAGGGAGAGGGAAGATGTCTTTAAAAAAAAAAAAAAAAGGGAGAAAATCGACTTCAGACTTGCCGCTTGTTGAAGCCAAACAGCCCGTCAGACCAGTGCTGGTGTGAACCTGACGGAATCGCTTGCTCTTTCCCGGCAATTCAGAGGAAATCGCTGCAGCCCCGCACCGGCTGCCCCGCACACTCCTCCCGCACCCCCACCCCGCGCCCTCCCGCCC